TCTTCACCACAACCACTGGTGATCAAAGGTAACAGGTTAGGGAAAAGAAAGAAGATGATCGTTTATGAAGACGAACATGAAGAAGGAGAAGTAAAACCGCAAGATTTATTGCCACTGATGAACAGCAACATTAGTGACGATGATGAAGAAGTTAACGCAAAGCCGATTGGACATGTTGTTAGGGTTTCTGGAGAAGGAGAATGGGTAACGAAACATTTCAAAGGGTTTGAAACCGATGGCATCTCTTATGAGCTCGTAAGTCATTATCTTTTATTATTTGTTAATTTGCTTGATTTAATAGCTCAAAACCTTCGTTTGCATGTCTGAACAGGAGGATACCGTGCTTGTTAGTCCGGAAGAATATAACATCAAGCCCTCTGTAGCTATTATTAAGGTAAGCACCTTTAAACTAACCCAGTAACGTTAACCTAAAACTTGTTGGTATTTCCACAACTTAAGACTTAAAAAGCAATCAATTTGTGGGTCGCTTACATGTGTTGCAGATTACCATTTTTTTAAGGAGACAATTCGTTGTGTACACAGGATATTCGAGAAACGAGAGATGGGAGGATTATGGTGATTGGCCGGAGGTTTTATCGACCCGAGATTGCAGAAAAGGAAGATGGAGGAAAGTGGGGGTCCGAGGAAGAAACGGAACTATTTTATAGTTTTGATGAGATAGAGTTTGCAGCTGAGTCAGTCATGCATAAGTGTCGGGTGCATTTTGTTCCACCAAACAAAACGATCCCGAATGCTCGAGAATATCCTGGTTTTTTTGTTGAAAAGGTTTACGATGCAAAATTAAAGAGATTGTGTGGGATAGTCGATGTAGGTTATGGAGACAACAAGCAACATGAGCTTTTTGGGCTTGTTCAGAAAACAATCGATCGGATTCCTAGTTGGCCTCTCAAGTTGTAATTCATATGTTAAATTAATTAGGTTGTCTAATGAGAAACTATTCTAACTCTGATAATTTTAGAGTAAGACTATGTAATTGTGTTTGCATGAGTGCACTACTTATATGTCAACTCCTTAACGTAATTTGTTCAAGCACATTGAATTAATATATATTGTTAGCTTTGATGCTTGTAATCCGTATTCGCTTGTAAACATAACGCTTGTTTTTCCGTAGACATGTTTCTATCACTTGTTTCTTTATCGACATGTTTTCTAGAGAATGAGTCTAGCTTGATGCAACTTGCCTTTGTGCTTTTGTAGTATATATAAAGATGCATTTTGGTATAACAGAAATTTAACATGTATGTTGGTGATTTTAGTGTCACATGTCATTTTAAGTAACTGAAACTAACATGTGAGCTAAGGGGCTTTATGATTTGTACTATAATCCATGTACGGGGCTGTGCGGGGTGCACGCATATATAAGATTGAGTCAGAAACCGGTTCGACGACTAGTCGGGGTTCCGGGGGCAACACCCCCGGGTCCGGGGTTTTCAAAGGGGCAGCGCCCCTTTAGCGGGGTCCAAGGGGCAGAGCCACAAAACCTCACCGAATTTTGCATGTGGGAACATAATGGAAAACTCAATTTCTTGAGGGTGATTATGGTAAAATTAACGAAACTCTTTAGTTTTGGTAACCCTAATCCGGATTAATATTACTTGCTTCCAAAGCAACTAATGATGACCCAACCCTAATGAAACCCTAATCGTGTTTAATATATAAACAACTCTTCCTTTCCAGAAGGTGGTTACGTTCTTTAGCTCTCGTTTTTCATCACACATTCACAGAACCCTTTAGTATATTGGCTTACGTCTTCTGTGCCTAGAAACGTAAGTGTCCGCTTGGATTATTCTATGCTGAATTTCTTGTAACCCAGGCATAGGGTAGAAATATCGGTTCGGAAAGTGATATCACGATCCACGTTAGTATCCAGATCTCCACCACAAACCCTAAATTTGCCAACAATGTATATAGCTTTTAGATATATTAACAGTTATGGATTTAAGTAACATCCAATGAACATTAGTTAATTGATGATACTCTTTAGTTTGTTGGTAAAAATGGTTGGTTTACTGCACCACCATCAACCAAAAAAGTTCGAAAACTACAAAACTTATGGATATTTTCATTTACAAAAATGTATTAGAAAACATATGACAAATTTTCAATTTTAAACTTGCATGAATTACCAAATTAAATATTTATTTTCTAACTTCAAACTTATGATATGGATTCAGGCTAAAAGATTTAGGGTTGTTTGATAGACTTTTTAATGGATCCAAAAAGAGGTCGTCTTTGACCCGATCCAACAAGTATATTTGATATCATCAATTTTCCCTCTTACCAACCCAAAGACTGATGCTTTATGATTTTCTAGGCCAGAATACAATTAGATCTGAAGTAGCAACTTCAAATTTGGGCTCCAACTTGAAATGATTCAAGGACATGGCATAAAAGCCCCTAAACTCATAACCAAGATAGATCTAGATGCAAAGGAGGGAAGATAACAACTTATTACCTCCAAGATGAGCACAAACTAAAATAGTTCTCGGATCTACACCCCTCCTTTGAAGCAACCCTCTTGATCTTCAAGTTCCTTTCAAAGATTCCCTCCTCCAAAGCTATTTTCCCTCAAATGATGGAAGCGCACACGAAATCTAGGATTTACAGGTTCTCTGGGATGATATAGAGACTGAGGAAGGGACATAACATCCCTTTTATAGGGTACATCCCCCGGGATTAGGGTTTCTCTCTTCAGATCGGACTCGCCGAGTCCATTCTCTGACTCGCCGAGTCGGTCACTTACTCCTCAATCCAGATCCCGCTTGGACTCATCGAGTTCCTTCCTAGACTCGACGAGTTGACCCCTTTGACTTAGGGTTTTCTTTCCTTTCTTGGACTTTCTGGTTTTGGGTGTTACACCACCTCAGTCATACACTGCCATAGAGTACAAACTGTGGTCAAGCAGAGATCGATGAAGAACAGGTTGTCTTTGTTCTCCGGTGACTCTTCATCATCATCACCACCACCACCACCAGTGGTGATCGGAGCTAAGAAATCGGAGAGTAAAAGAAAAATGATCATTTACCAAGACGAAGATGAAAAAGTAAACCAAGTTTCATTGCAAGAAATAACCGACAAGAGTGACAATGATGATGAAGAACGCGTTAGATAGGATACGAAGCCAATCGGAAATGTGGTTAGGGTTTCTAGAGAAGGAGAATCGAGAAGGAACCATTTCAAATGGTTCGAAGCTGATGGCGTCTCTTACGAACTCGTAATTCATTATCATTTACTATTTGCCTAGCAAGCTAGTTTGATTTCATAGCCCAAAACCTCCATTTTTCGTGTTTGATTTCTTATGTAGTCGAAAAACTTCATTTTTACCAGGTTGAACTCAAATAATTTCACAGACAACAAACTTTAACCTGAATCTAAGATATAATTAACCTATTTGATCTTCAGATCAACATTTTGTAGTTATTTCCGGTGATGACATTGATAAATCAAAAACCACCATCGCCGGAGATCGACTGTTAATGAAAGGAATCAACATGTGATCGTGATATATTACTAGGCCATAGCTGGAATATCAGATATCTGTTACCTATCCATTTAAAAACTTGTGGCAACTTTTGTACTAACCAATAGTATTTGTTCATTGATAAACATGTTTTTTTAAACAAAATAATAAAAATAAAAACTCAATCTTTTATATTGGAGCCCTATATATAGAAACACTTATTTTGGTTGGTTTGCAAGTTAAATCAATCAAAATCTATGTTTTTTACAAGTCTTGTATTACTAAAATAATATAAAATTTGTATTTGATATTTATTAGACTAATTATCAATGAGATAAATTATTAAATTTAGTTTCATCCAAAAAAGTGGTACATGACATGAACACTATTTTTATACGGTATAATCTTGCCCAATGTAACAAATAGTAAAACACAATTTATTTTTTGTTGAAAAAAAAAACTGTTTTATTCACTTGCATTGAATTATTCTAAATTGTGGTATTAAATGTTTATAAATATTATTCATTTGTAAGGCTAACAATTTTTTTTTTTGTTAGGATCTAAAAGTGTGTGAGTATAGCTTGATGGGAGTTGGGGTTGGTATATAGAAAAATTCATATTATTTCGGGGGAATAAGAATACTACAAGAATATAGCTTTTCAAGATAGATTGACAAAATGGATATGTATAACAAATATCTATAATAGGCTAATAGCATTCGTGGGTTGCATTAACAGTTTAACACCAAATAGAATAGACAATAGTTAATTTATCATGAACTACTTCCTGATTATTTTGTTGGGATGTTAAAAAAAAAACCTAGTAGAAGTTATTTAATGCTTTATAAAATGATCAAATTTCTCATTTCGTATCCATGAGACCATTTCTTACAAAAAATCAAGCAAGTGAAGTAACATAACATCAAGGGTACATCCGTAAATATGTTTGCTCTTTTGGATCTAAAATGTCAGTAACAAGAAAATTTTGAGATATAGTCACCTACAAAAGAACGTCAAATTCCCAAATTTCGTATCCTAGTACATAATATTGAGAAAACGTAAAAAACTTAAAAATGCAAAAGATCAATTGATTAATGACATTACATAAAATATTGTTCCTAAGGAGGAAGTGTATTAGTAGGCTGATATCATGAAGCAACTTTCACCTTTTGGCCCAATTCGATAGGAGAAAGGCCTTTGTCCATTGCATCCAAGGTACATGAAATACATAATTTTCATTTTTAATCATCCACTAATGATATACACATCTTTCATTTTTCAGTCACTTCAACGCAACAACACCTTCCTCTTTCATCTTTCACTACATCTTTGAATGTGTCTTACCCATTTTTGACATTCCATTTCTTTTTAATACAAATAACAATTATTAATTTTAAAACCTTTAACTAACTAAATAAAAACAAAAAAATACAAATACAAATACAAAATTAACGATAATTAATAATTTTCATCAACTAAAACTAAAATATAAAGAGTACATGAAAATAAAGAAAAAAACATTACTCAAAACCATATCTTTTCGCTATCTTATCCTTCAATGCTAGAGCTGCTTGAAGAGAAGGTCCGGTCAGATGGTCAATCTTTGCCGTTAAGATCTTAAAATCTTCAAACTCACGTGCTTCATTTTTTGCACGAATTTTTTCCTCCCGTGCTTTTTCCTTTATGCGGATTTTTTCTTTTTCCAATTCGAGGTGTTGGTCATAAATCGAGGTAAATTTATCCAACTTATCTGCTAATCGATCTATTTTTTCATCCATATTGGATCCCGATAAAGTCGACGATGAAGCTCTGTTTCCTTTACCCCTCCCGATTGGGCGTCGAGGTTCTTCAGGCTCAATCTCCTCGTCGTGATCCACAGGCTCAATCTCATCATCCTCGTCGTTGATGTCAACGAGACAACATGCATCCGATGATGTTGTATAATCATTCGAGTCAGATGTCTTGGTTTGTTTCGGACCACTTGTATAATCCACCACAGACGCAGTCACCCACTTTTTGGATTTTTTAAGAACATCCCAAGCGGATCCATGGTTAAACGTAGTCCCGTTATGTTCCGATCGGTATTCGTCTAACGCCGCCCTCAAAATGTCTGCTTCACTATGATCACTTCCACGTTGACTTAACAAGTTGTTGTAGATGTCGTTAAACTTCACCACCTTTTGGTTTACATCCCTCCATTTTGAACTGAGTTGGTGGTTTGTACGATAGTCATCACGGCCCATTGCATTGTGAAAATGTTTCAACACGCGCTTCCAAAACGGACCGACACTTTGCACGTTACCCGTTGAACCGTCCTCCTCCGAGATGTCGACCCATGCAGTTGCCAGTGCGGCTTCCTCAACCGTAGTCCATGCTTGACCGTTAGAAAGACCGGTACCAACATTATTTGCGATATTTTTATAGCTCTTTCTTTTGGAGCTCTTAACCGGTCGGGATGGTTCGGGTTCGGGTTCGGATTCGGGTACGGGTACGGGTATGGGTATGGGTACAGGCGGGTCATCCTCTTCGTCGAGGTCAACGGGCGATATCGTATAATCATTGGAGTAGGATGTCTTGGTTCGTTTCAAACCATTGGTATGATTCTTCCCATTCCCATACACTGTTAACCATTTTCGGGATTTTTTAAAAGCGTCCCAAGCGGATGCATAGCTAAACGCTACCCCGTTATGTTCCGATCGGTATTGTTCGAGCGCTGCTCTCAAAATGTCGGCTTCACTATCACCACTTGCGCGTTCATTTAACAAGTTGTTGTAGATGTCATTGAACTTCATCACCTTCCGATTTATGTCCCTCCATTTTGAATTAAGTTGGTGGTGTGTACGATAGTCATAACGACCCATTGCATTATAAAAATGTTTCAAAATACGGTTCCAAAAAGGACCAACATAATTACCGCTTGTACCGATCTCCTCCGAGATGTCGATCCACGCAGTTATCAATGCGGCTTCCTCGGCCGTAGACCATGTTTGTGCGGGAGCGGGACCCGTACGATTAGGATTTGCGGTTTTTTCAGAGCTCTTTCTTTTCGAGCTCTTAACAAGTAGAGATGTGTCATCATCATCGGTTGATTGGGGTTGAGATGCATGAGATTGGTTTTGTGAAGTTTTTGTAGGATCACACGCAGTGTTTGTAGGAAAACAGATGGTTTCAAATTGTAGGGAGCGTGGTGGTTGTGAGGAATCGAAACGGGAAATATTTTTGGACAATGGTGTGTTTGAACTAATAAGTTGAATATTGCGATGAAAAGCATCACCTAATATACTCTGCATTTCAAAAAAAAAAAAACAAGAAAAAAATCGTTGTAAGATATTATGGATCGTATTTTTATCTGATGAACAATTAACAGCGAAAAATTCAATGGCATTTCTGTAATTAGTGATGTAACAAAATAACATACACTGATTTTTGGTGTGCTTCCAACTTCACAATCTCCACCTGCAAAAAATATAAACAATTATTGATTTTTTGTTCATAAGATTCTTTTATTTTGTTGTTCCTACTTGAGGGTAGTTTAGAAACTTTAGATATTTGCTTCACATTTAATCCGAAATAGTTACCCATTTAGATATTATAGTGACATGCAAATATCTCAATCAAACTACTTGGATCATATATAAAAACTTGAATATGAATTTACTTGTTGGGAATTGGGACTTCTTCAAATCCTCTTCAGATAAGAGACTATCTTCATCTATAACATCCATTTCATCAACAGCCTCAACTTTTGGTAAAATTTTCCAAGAAGGCTTCTTTCCCTTGATCTGATAAATTTAACAATTTCAAAGTTTTATAAAAAAAATATAATTTTGGGTCTCACAAATGGTGGCTTATTGATTTCTTTGAAGTTTTGCTTACACCAAAAGACTGGAGACCTTCAGACAGCACCTCAGCCATCTGAACCACCTCAATATTTGAAAACCCTGCAACTAATAACTTTCGCCCAAGTGAAGATGTTGTCTGAAAAACAGTTAACAGTGATTAATTGATACACAAAGCCTAGATTAGTTTCACTTTTGGGAAGAAGACAAATGTTTTACATTCTTTTTGGCAGCATCAAAACTTTGATGAATAAAGATTTCTCCACCAGGCTTTAAAACCCGTGAAAATTCCCCAACCAAATTATCACCAGGAAAATCTTGTGATGTACCCATGGATATGATGAAATCCACTGAAGATGACTCCATTTGCAAAGAATCTATTACAGTATTACTCATTAACATAAGTTATTATAATGTTTAAAGAGGTAAATGGGAATGAATAATCTATACGAGTATACTGAAAGGTGAAATGAGAAAGGTACTTAGTGATGAAGCATGAGCGACGATTAAAGGATTGATCTTTTCAACTGCTTCACTCTTCACTATTTTTATAGCGTTTATTACTTCATGAAGAGGCATCGCTTCATTCTCTATGAATGCTAACATGTTACTGTCCACCATTTGTGTGCCCTAAAAATTTGACAATAGAAGTCACATTACTAAATCATGTGTATGATCGTGTAATTTGTTATCGATATGGAGCAAAAGTGCTTTGCTGATTATGATTATGATTTCTGATCATGATTCTCTGATGTTCGTAAGACACAATCATCGAATTTAGTTGCTGAAAGCACTGATTATCCAGAATAAATTAAATTGTCTGATGTACTTCAATCAAGTGATTAAATTTTTATCCGATTAGTGATCCTTGAAGTGGCAATTATCACTATGAAGACGTCCACAGAAAATTTTCGAAAGCAAACACGAATACACCAAGTTTAGGGTCGCAATATTACTTCAAAACCTCCACTGAGGCTTAAGCTATATATACGAAACGCAAACTTGGGAAATTCAATAGCGATCGGAAGAAATCAATTACTGTAAAAGCATAAAATTGAACCAAACTTTAGAAAATTGAAGTCGGAACTCACCATTTAAGGATAGCTTTCCGTTCGGTTGAGCTGTAGGAAGGGGGAAAATGTTGCTCAGCAAAAATACATATACAGATTAGAATTGAGTTTATAAGGTCACCGAGAAAGTATAATCTGTATAAATGTTGCCGGAAATTGGATATGGTAAGCGGCGATGATAGGCAGACATCGGAGATTTTTTAGGAGAAATAACCTTCTTGAGTTTGTAAGCTGCCTGGTAATCTGGTATGTGTTTGAGTGTTTGAGAAAGAAATAAAATCGTGTATTTATGATATAGGGTTAAATAAGTGTTATAAGTAGGTGTTTGGGTAAATACCAACTTTTTAAGGCATAATGACTTGAAAAGGTAACGAACTTTCGATTTTTGTCATATTTAGTCACTAAATTTTTTTTCGTTATCTATTTGCCATTGAACTATTGAAACTGTTCACATTTTACCCTTATGACCGACTGTTACCGGTCATAAGGGTAAAATGTGAACAGTTTCAATAGTTTAGTAGCAAATAGATAATGAAAAAAAGTTTAGTGACTAAATGTGAACAAAATCGAAAGTTTATTTCCCTTTAAAAAGTTCAATGACTAAATGTGAACAAACTTCCTATTGTATTTTGTTTTAGCAAAATTATTTATTTTTGTTTAATTGTAGCAACATTTGTTGATGAAGAAATCTATGAAATAAAAAAACAAAATGTAACATCCGGATTTCCAAGTATCATCATTTAAGTATTTTTCTTTTGAGTTAAGAAGAGAGACTCGATGAGTTAACGCCTCAACTCGTCGAGTAAGGTCGCGACTGATGACTCGGATTAATGAATGGACTTGACGAGTCGGTGAGGCGACTCGACGAGTCCGCGCTATTGGCAGAAACCCTAAATCTTTGGGCTCGAGCCATATTTAAAGGCACTTATGGCCTTCAATTGCGAATACCTTTCCCATAAGTGAGAACCCTAGCGAGCTTGAGTGTGTAGAGTGAGGGGAAGGGCTATCTTGAGCTTTTTGGTGTGATAGATATGGACCCTTCTAGGTTCAGAGAGCCGAGAATATGAAGCTTTAGTAGAGTAAACCTTGGGGTTTAAAGTTATGAAGCATTTATGGTATATATAGTTACTTTCATCTTACACATAGATATGAAGTATTTTCTATAAATTACATGTTATGTGCGCATATTATTTGAATACTTGCTATCTATGTTGGATAAACGATTTTATACATGTTTTAAAAGATTTAAACGGTATATTTATTTTAAATCTACAAATATGTTGTGGATGAAACATAGGTAGATGAAATAGTTGGTGTGTGATGAAATAAAATGATGAGAGATAGGTGATGATAGAAAGGTGGTGATAATTAGGTAAATAGATGATGATGAATATGTGATGTAGGATGAAAGGAGATACCATAACCTTTACCAGCAATGTGGCGATGTAGTCATCTACCAGAGTATAGATAGCGACCACTAACTATTCTAGACAACCTAGTGGAAACACCAGCAGACCCATAACCTGTAGGTGGTGAATTACGAGTTCAGGCGATGTTGTAAATACGTATTCATGTGATGATACTCTAACCCCTTACTACGAATTACAATTTAAAACGATGTTGTAACTACATATTCATGGGATGTCACAAATTTCGCATGCCAAACCAATGGTCATAATTCACATCAATGAGAATGGTTCATTTTTTTTTATAAAACCAAAAGCAGATTGGAAATTTTGATGTAATTATTTTGGAAAATGTCAAACCATTGGTTTTTTATTTCGGTTTTGGTTTTTTGTTTTTTTTTAATATATTTTCAGGGTTTTTTTTGTTTTGTTGTTTTTTTTTTGTTTTTTTGTTTTTTTTTATTTCATAGATTTCTTCATCAACAAATGTTGCTACAATTTAACAAAAATAAATAATTTGCTAAAACATAATACAAGAGGAGGTTTGTTCACATTTAGTCATTGAACTTTTTAGAGGGAAACGAACTTTCGATTTTGTTCATATTTAGTCACTAAACTTTTTTCGTTATATGTTTGCCATTGAACTATTGAAACTGTTCACATTTTACCCTTATGACCGGCAACAGCCGGTCATATGGGTAAAATGTGAACAGTTTCAATAGTTCAATGACAAATAGATAACGAAAAAAAGTTTAGTGACTAAATGTGACAAAAGTCGAAAGTTTGTTACCCTTTCAAGTCATTATCCCACTTTTTAAAATATAAAGTTTTATCCTTAGACTTTTCTAAAAAGTCTATAAAAAGATGCAAAACTCTCCCACGCAGATATTGAGTTAATTTAATATTTGTTTATCCTATTTTGTTACCCATGTTTATTTATTTCTTTATTTATTTTTAAAAAATTAAACTGATTCCTACTTTTTATGCCTTCCTACCTAATAAAATTATGACAAGTGTTATCTTTCTATATTTTTTTAACTAAATCATTAAGACTATATTGGAAATATATTAGGAATATATCAAATAAAATTAAATTGGATGGTGATTTGTCATAATTTTAATGATTAGGAATAATTATAGGAATAAAAGGTAGGAGATAATCTAATTTTTCTTTATTTTTACTTTAAGGTGATCGATCTAACCCTTAAGACAAAGTGTGTGTGTCATGACTATCGCTAGCTTCGTTGTACACTATCCTTTAGCGTGCTAAAGGGACTCGCCAACCTCTACACGTTGGTTCACACGCGAGAATAGGTCATTTTTCTTTTTCTTTTTAACTTATATTTTTCAAAATTAAAAGGTTGTGATTGGTCCTTGTTTTGTTTGGTTTTTTTTTCTCGTTTCTTTCTTCAAAAATCCAAGCTTAATTGGTAGCCAAAAATCTAATATGGAAATATGTTAAAGATGTTACCATTCTTCATAGCTCAAAGAGGTGTTTCATTTATTTCCTTTTTTGATTAATGTTAACAAATAGTTTTAATGAGTTAAATTAGAATATGAAACGTTTGGATGTAAATACAAAAAATATTCAAAAATAATAGTGTAAAGTATATTTTTAACATTTGTTTATAATCATGCTCAATTGAAATTATTAATCATTTTATTGTTTAAATTATCTAAATTTATTTAAAAATATATAATAATAATAATAATAATTTACAAATTTTAACTTAGAACAATTACTAAACAGATAATTATTTGAATTTTGAAATTTTTAAGTATAAGGGTAATATAGTTATATAGTTATATTCAAATTGTTCATTTAGTCCAAAAAACAGTATTTATATAAACAACATTTTATCCGTACATATATCATTATCCAATAAGTATTATTTATCACTTTAATAATTAACAGGAAAGAAAAAGAAAAGTACTTAATAGGAAAGAAAAAGAAACATGGGCTTAAGTTGAATATATTAACAAAAAGAGAGATAAAAAAAAAAAAAAAGGATTATTAACAAGGGATGATGAAACCATGTCTTTTGTTTAAACAATATACAAACATTATGTCTTGGTAACTTTTTAATGAAAGAGTAAGCATAGTCATAGTTGCCAAATGCCAAGTACAAGCTAAAAAAATATGGCAGATAAATAATAAATTATCGATCTTCTTATTGCTCTCCAACAGGCCCGGATTAGAGCATGGGCGAACAGGGCATATGCACAGGGCCCATTTATTTTAGGGGCCCAAAGTTTTTTTTTTCTTTATATACACAATAGCCCAAAAAGAAACGGATGAAGGTCATCAATCGCTCGTTGACCACGCTCCACCAGAAGAGAAGACAGAAGTGAAGTTGATATCCAAAATCGTACAACCAATCGACCACCTCTGTGAAATTGTCCACCGATTTAGTAGCGTGCAACGATTTCTAGGTAAAAGCTTTCTTCTTTCTTTTTGTTCCAAACCTTGAATCGGAATTGCCAAATCACTGAATTATCAGATTATGAGGTTATGTTAATTGTTTAGTGTTAATTAGAAATCAGATTGTTGGTTAGCAAATGTAATACTAATGATAAACTTTCAATAAATCAACATGATTTATGTAAGTTTTAATTTTCATGCCATTCCAGGTTACTCCTAGTTTTCCTAACCCAAATCTTTGAGTTTTTTTAGTATCTGAGAACACAATATCAGGGTTCTACCACTCCAGGTTTAGAAAATAACATCTAGGTAGGATTTTAGGCTAGAAAGAATGCATACACATGGTTTGAAACTCCATAAATCAACTCTTGTAAGTTGTAACTTTTGTGGAGTTAATCAATAAATGTGTGTGTTCCTGTGTAAAGAAAGTTTCTTGCACACACAAGACTTGCAGAAATGTTCCTGTAATTTTTCTCGTTTTAAGTATTAACACTAACAAAAAGGTATCATAACGTATGTTGAAGAGTTCAAAAGGGCATGTAGTAATCTGGTTTATGGAGTTAGATTGATATTATAACTATAGATGATAATCTCCATAGTGAAACATGTAATAGCTGTCACCAAGTTGAAAAGATCTTGGTTGAACCACATTTTCAAGACAAAGTCATATTTTCAAAAGCCTTAAAAGTTGGAGGTTTTCAAGAAGTTGAAAATGTACACTTTATAGATGGTGTTTGTATAGGGATAGATCCAGGCGAAAAGATTCAAGAGAATATTATGATGTTTTTGAGGGTTTTGTAAAGAAACCAAATAATGAAAATGGAGTGTTTAATGAAGACTTGGATAATATTTTGTTGGGTAATAAGATGTTAAGGATCTGTCTTCAAGGTATGGTTTGATGGATATTAAATTATATAAATGAACAAGTGATATACGGTGTGTTGTTGTTGGTGAAACATGTCCTTCACCTCAAAATTGAATGAAAAAGATAAAAAGGGGTATAGACATAGTACATGTTTATCCATCAGTTTTCAAGAAGGGTTATATTTATGTTAAACATGTGGAGTGCATTACAGGTTATCGGTTAGCTGTTACACGTTAGTGCGTAAGGGCCTTTTTTTCTGCCTTGTCCTGGGCATTTAAATTCTTAGAACCGGCCCTGCTCTCCAAATATATTTAATAAAGAAAACTACAATTACACAAATCTACAACATAAACATTCAATTTATTTATGAACCAATTGGTTTTACATACAATTTATAATCAAAAACCAAAGGGCTTCTAGCTCAGCGGTATCAGATGGTGTCCTTCCTTCTTGAGGTTGAGGGTTCAAGTCCCATGATAAACATATGTGGAATTAGGTGTTAGTTTAGGTGTAGATTAGATATTTGTATTTGCCGGTTCAAAAAAAAAACTTATAATCAAAACCTCGCTACAATCATCCTAAACACAGTAGGGTGTATCGGGTTCGGTTATTTAAAGATAGATTAACGTTCCCACAAGCCTTTGAAAATTAGTTTTGTTAACAACCAAATCATGTTCCTTTTCTACACCATCACATTTTACAATAATTTTCTTTTGCTTCTTAAAGAGTTTTAACTGGTTTACAACCACACATTTCCAAAATCATGGAAGAGTTCAAGATAATATTTACGTTGATTAAGACACAATTCTTTATTTATATCAATGACTTGTATTCCAAAAAAAATATTTTAACTGGTCTTTTATTAAAAATTAGGTTTTAAGAAATCCTTTTATTTTTTTTCAGATTCATCCTTATGACTGACAATTTGTATCCATGTGAAACTAAGGATGAGCATAAACAAGTATCTGACTAATTTCGCAAGAACCGAAACTGGTGGTTCTTAGTCTAACTGAACCGAAACCGCCTACTCGGCTTTTTTTATGTAAACTTTAACCATTGGTCATTTGAAATGTAACAACAAAAATCAAATCCAAGAATAATTAGCCCCAAAAATCAAATCCAAAGAATAATTAACAACAAAAATCAAACGAAAACACTTTATTAACAATCCATAGCAAGCCTAAAACAACTTTCACTTAATAAAATCACCAACAAGTCTAGCAAGTCTTAACAATACAATACAAAAAAAAAAAACTAAACAAAACAAAAAAAAAACCAAAAAAAAAAACAACAACAACAACAATTCAAAACAGCATTTAGACAACATTTCTTCATTCTTCATGACAACATCAACCTAATAACAAACAGCCCATCAGCAACCTAAAACAATTCAACAACCAAACAAGTGGGAAAAATGTAAGAATGTGAGATTGTCCATTAAAAAAAAGTAGGATTTATAGAGTTACCTCAAATAGCAAATAGCTATCAGGATTTCGACCTAAATTATCATCAATAGTGTCACTGATTTCTACTAGGGATGGGCAAAGGAACCGACCCGATTGGAATCGGTCCGAACCGGAACCCGGGGACCGAACTTGGTGGAAAATAGGAACAGAACCGGACCGTCGATTCTACCGGTTCCGGTTCCAACTAGTTCTTGTCGTGTCTTTAATGTTGGAACTGATCCTCGAGAAATAGAAACATATGGTTCCGGTTTTTGCCATTCTACCGGTTTCCAGTTCTAAAATTCCACAAGAATATCATCCCGGTCCCGGCCCGAACGATTCCATCGGGTTTCGGTTCCGGCCGATTCTCCGGTTCATATGTTCATCCCTAAGTTCTACGATATAAATTAAACAAACAATTTAAATTAATAAAGATAAATACAATACAAAAAATATAATTAAAAATACGAAATAAAAGTGTAACATATTAAACATTTCTCATATTTTGGCACATCATCTAATAATTGTTAGACATGAAGACATATATTTGATAAAATCTACCAATCTTGAGTATATATATATATATATATATATATATATATATATATATATATATATATATATATATATATATAGGAAAAGGGGAATATACATTACAGCCCCACCTAAGGTTAGGTATACTAAACCTCTTGAAAATACATTGTTTTACTATATAAAGATTACGGTTAATAGATTCACGATTAATACTTCAAGATGTAAATTCAAGACCGACACAATAGGGTTTAGGGTTTAGGGTTTAGGTTTAGGTTTAGGGTTTAGGGTTTCGGGTTTAGATTTAGGGTTTAGTGTTTAGGTTTAGGGTTTAGGGTTTAGATTTAGGGTTCAGTAATGTTCATGAGGAAAGAAAACAGGGATGGTAAAACGATAATGAAAGAAAGAAATGTTGTGGAGGATGATATATTTACCAAGTGAAACCAAACCGGGTATATCTAGCATGTTAAAACAAAATATTTTAGAAGTTTAGTACCTAAGCTTAGGTGGGGCTGTAATGTATATTCCCTATCCCCTATATATATATATATATATATATATATATATATATATATATATATATATATATATATATATAGGAAAAAGGGAATATACATTACAGCCCCACCTAAGGTTAGGTATACTAAACCTCTTGAAAATACATTGTTTTACTATATAAAGATTACGGTTAATGGATTCACGATTAATACTTCAAGATGTAAATTCAAGACCGACACAATAGGGTTTAGGGTTTAGGGTTTCGGGTTTAGATTTTGGGTTTAGTGTTTAGGTTTAGGGTTTAGGGTTTAGATTTAGGGTTTAGGGTTTAGATTTAGGGTTCAGTAATGTTCACTTGGGTGAAGTAATAAACGATAAATGAGGAAAGAAAACAGGGATGGTAAAACGATAATGAAAGAAAGAAATGTTATGGAGGATGATATATTTACCAAGTGAAACCAAACCGGGTATATCTAGCATGTTAAAGCAAAATATTTTAGAAGTTTAGTACCTAAGCTTAGGTGGGGCTGTAATGTATATTCCTTATCCCCTATATATATATATATATATATATATATATATATATATATATATATATATATATATATATATATATATATCAAAGTTTCCCCCGTCTTAAAATTTTAACAAATGAAGTAACATGAAATCAAAGGTAAACCGGAAATATGCTTCTCTTTTGAGTCATAAATGTAAACAATGGGGATGTGCTTCGGGCTAAAACCGACCTGAACCTGAATAACCCGAAACCCGAATTGGATGAAAAGTAGGAACCGAAAGCCAGATAGATTATACAAATACGAGTTTCAGTCCTGTTATCAACCCGAAAGGACCGATATAACTCAAATAAACATTTACACTATGTTTTAGAACCGAATAACCCAAATAAACCGGAATGACCTAAATAAACCCAAATTGTCCGAGTAAACCCAAATAAGAAAATTCTATATTTAATTCAAGAAAAAAAATATTAATTTAATATTTTTTTTCTTAAACTCAAGGTTGTAAAAAACGCTCGACGTTACCTAATCGGTGGACTGGGGTCAAGGGATTAATCGGCTAGGCGGAGATTAATCGGGGGATTAATCGGGTACCATTAAATGATAATTTATTGAAGTTTAAAGAATTAAATATGACTAATATCATATCAAAGTTCGTAAATACCAATAATATGATAACATAATAGGTTAATATGATCAATACAACACTAATCATGCTTCAAATAGTTTCCGTTGAGATAAAACTTCTTCAAAATGTTAAAATTTGATCGTTTTGTAATGTTTCACTCATTATGTATGCAGAGATTAATCGCTAGGCACCCTCTAATCGGTAGAGTAGAGCCTAGGGATTAATCGGAGATTAATCGGGACCTAGTCGGGATTTTTACAACAGTGCTTAAACTAGATATAGAATTTCCTTAACTGAGTTATTCGAGCCATTTCGGGTCATTTCAGTTATTCGGATCATATCGGTTTTGTTTAGGTTATTCAGTTCAAGTGACTATTCACTTCAAGGGGGTCGGTCTTTTAGGCCCGATTAAACTTTTATTCGGATAATCCAGACCGAATAACCCAAAACCTGAATTGTGCAAAAATAATTACCCGAGAAGCAACCCAAATAACTTATTCGGTCCTAATTTGAGTCACTCCGGTATGGGTTTCGTTTCGGTTTCGGTATTCAATCCAAACACACATCCCTGGTCAGCAGCAAGAAAACCTTGAGATAAAGTCAACTACAAAACATCAAATTCCCAAATTTCATATCGTGCTACATAATATTGAAAACAATTTATCGTGAACTAGATCAACTGATTAATAAAATATTGTTTGCAAGGAGAAAGTGTGATATAAATGGGACAAATTTTTTTCTTTTCAGTTTTCACCGAATTTAAAAATAAAAAATAAAAAAATAAAAATTTAAAAAATATATATATAAAAAAAATAAAAATAAAAATAAGGACCTCTGTCCTTTGCACGTAAGGCTGATCCGTCATTTTTCATCATTCATTTAAATGCGTGTTACCATCTTTCACCTTCCATTTCTGTTTTAATAGAAATAAATCAAATAATAATTATTATTAATTCCAAAACATTGAGCTTACTAAATAATAAAAAATAAAAAAATAAAAATAAAAACCGAATACAAGATCAACGATAGTTAAAAAAAATCATTAACTTAAACTATAAATTTTACCTTTGCATGCAAATATAATAAAAACATCACTATCCGTTTTGACATTTAAAAAATCTTTTTCGTATAATTGTTTGTTTACAATAAAACTATAAATAAGATAATTAGAAAACCAGTTTTACCACACAAATGCGACATCGTTTATTTGAGAACTTTTATTATCTGAATTGAATACGTTTGCGTTATAAATAGAATTAAACGTCTGAATAATCAAAAACGGGTCCATAGCTCAGTGGTAGAGCATTTGACTGCAGATCAAGAGGTCACCGGTTCGAACCCGGTTGGGCCCTTTTTATGTTTTTGTTACTTAAATTTTTTCTTTTCCCTTTTTATGTTTTTTCCCTTTTTCCAATATTTGAACTTTCATCATATTTATAAAAAAAAACGATATCGAAAGTTCCACAAGTATGAAATATTTCAAGTATTAAACAATTATCTAAATTTCAACAAAATATGAAATATTTCAATCCTAAACAATTATCTAAACCTCAACAAAGATGAAATATTTCACCAAACAAAATAAATAGAAATAATCCAATCCAATCCACCAAAGATTTCGTATTAACAAGAAGACAAAAAGTCATTACCAATATCACCCTTCCAAACCAAAGGGTAAACATGTCATTACATTACACCACCCCTAAGTAATAAAACCAAAACAACAAAAGAAAAAAAAATTCATTAATTCAACCAACCAATTTCACCAAAAAGTATTCCAAAAGAATGCTTCCACAACAACAAACAAACAAATCTCAAACCCTTTTTTCTTTTCCACCATTATATCATCAAATCAAACACTCGACTTGGGTGTTTTCCCTTCCGTATACCATCATCAAAGGGGATGAAACGAAATGAAATGACCAAAATACCCTTCTCAGTTGGCGTTATATTTCTCTTCAAGAACCGACCCTTCTCTTAGTGCAATCTGTGCTTCATTTTCCCTCCCCAATGCAAATAAAGCAGCAGCTTGTAAATAAGATGCTATATGCCAAATTGGGGATATAACTTGGGCTTGAACTGCATCATTTAAGGCTTCTTGTGCCATTTCACTCATCAGATATGACAAACTTCTTCTTGCAAATACAGTTGGAGATACCATGGTCCCCACCTCAATAAACTATATTCCAAAAAAAAAAAAAAATCAGGTATTTGATCCACACAACTAATGCAAGTTTTGAACTTTTAAGATTAAAAAGATTAAGGTTCTAAACAAGAGAAGAAAGTAACAAACCTGTGTATAAAAGTCTATTGCAGCTTTAAACTCTTTATGACGAAAAGCAGAGTCTCCTTTCTTCTTGGAGTTCAATGTGTCATGTATTTGATTAGTCCACATCCCAAACGAAAGCTGCAACAACCAACAATCATGATTTTTTTTTTAAAAATCAAGGTCAAACAAAGTCAAAATACAGCAAAAAAAAAAAAAAAAAAAAAAAAAAAAAACAATAAACAAACCTCAGTTGCAGCACCCTCATCATCTTTGTAACCTAATTTTTCCAAGACTCCATGTATGAATGTTAAATCCATTCTTAGGCAAGCTTCCCCAAGTGGTGTTAGTGGCATAGCAGAGCCACCTTGTGGCATACCCATCAACACATGAGACGGTTCCTATAAAAAAAATGTACTTTAAGACACACAGGACAGGACAAGACAGAACATAACAGATTGTACTGTATTTACTGGAACTGAGATGTGAATGAGACAAAAACTATAACTTTTGCAAGAAGAATGTACTATAATGCCCCATTTGTTGTTATTACAAGACAAGACAGATCAAAACAAAACATAGTAGGTTGTACTGTATTTGATGTGACTTGTGACTGATGTCAGTGAGACAAGAATTGCAGCTTTTTAGCCCCACCCAAAAAGGTGAAAAGGGGGCGAAAGATGTGAAAGACCTTTAATAATGATAAAAATTGCAACTTTATGTGATGTGATGGTGAAAGAAGATATATTTAATTGATACCTGAGTTTCCTTTTGTAGGGGAACCAAAGAAGAAACCAATGACCTTGGATTTGGGCGCTCACGTGGCTCATACTGCAAACACCTTGAAGCCAACCGTACTAATTCGGTTCCATCATCATTAGAAAATTGACCTTCCAAGCAAGAATCGGTAAGCATTTGGAGATTCCTATCTCTTATAAGATCAAGAGCCTGATAAATTCAAAATAACAATCAAGTTATAGATGCCCTTTCGTATGTTTGGTGTGTTAATGTCTAAAATGCCCATCAATAATGACAAAACAAAAGAGATCTAGTCGAAGAAGAATGATCTTTATAGTAATGACAATGGGCAAATAAGTAATTTAGCTTGAATTGTTGTATGAAAACGTACATGGCTAGGTGGAATGTGTTTCCCACTTAGAAGGTCAAGCAAAAGGGTACCGAAACTATACATTACACTTTCCGGTGTTACCCTCCCTACACATAAAGATTCAAGAAAAAACAAACAATTAGAAAACCAATATCAAGAATTCAAGATCATGATTTGCCACAAGAAAAACAAACCCCGATATAGCCCCCTAATAAAATTTCAATATAAAAACACACACACAGACAGACAAACACATGTGTGTGAGAGAGATAAAGAAGAGAGAGTTGATACCCGTTCTCAGATACTCAGGAGGTGTAAATGCCAAATTTGTACTATAGCTCTTTCCATCCCTACTATTCTTCATCAACCCAAAGCAAGAAAGTCTTGGATTTGCATCCTACAATATGTTCCAAATCAAGATTGTTACCAAAGATTAATCAACAAGCAACAAGTAGGGGTAGAATCGTAATTCGTACATCGTCAAAGACTATTCTATAGGCGTTAAGATCATGGTAAAGAGCACGCCCTTTGCTTGTACAATAATCTAAAGCTTCTGCAAGATATAACGCCACCCGTAACCTCATTGCCCATTTCATAGGTTGTGTTTCCCCTATATTCAAGATTCAATAAAAATCAAAACTTTACACTTGAATCACAAACATTATGTCATTAGCAAAAAAGGGTTGATTATTTTGTTAGTAACTTACAATGAAAAAGGTGTTTTGCAAGTGTTTCATGTGGCATAAATTCAGCAACAAGTAATCTTTCATCACCTTCACAACAACAACCAAGTAAATTGGCCAATCTAGGGCTTCGAAGTTGTCCAACTGTTCTTGCTTCTTCCTGCCATAATCACATAAATAAAATTCAATTTACAAATCTTTATTTACTTTACAAGATTCACCACAAGAAAACGAGGCTTTCCCACTTTTTTACAAATTTGCCCTTGTTTACTTTTTTCTTCCATTTCCCCAAAGTCTCATGGACACTTGGACTTTGAAGTTGTTTCTTTTTTACTTAATGGGCTTAATTAGTTAAGCACTTAACCTTAACAACTATACATATTGGATGTTTCTTTTTTACTCCTTTAGTGTCAAAACTGATGAACTAATGTCAGCATTGGTTGTTGGAATGTAAGGGTAAAATGGTCATTTAGTTACCAAAAACTGCCTGGAATCAGGCCAGGCGGATCGATTAAAGCGTTTGACAGCAATTCGCCTCTGATTTGCCAACTTCCCTTTATACACCACATTAGGGGCTTTCTCACCATGTTCAGAAACAATGTTTTCAACAGAGAATCCAGATGTAGCATTCCTAAGTTGTTCAACAGAAAATTCACGAAATGAAGGCAGATCACTCGTCTCCCCCATATCATTTTCTGGAAATTATTCAAAAAAAAAAAAAAAAGGATCATAATCATGCCACATAAGCTATTTTCTAATAATGATACAATGAGTAAAGTTGACTTACCAACATTACCAGGTTGAGCTACCACTCCATCTTCTATGGTATCGCAACATGAACACATTTTAGAAAATTCACAGCCCATGATTTCAAAATAAATTAAAATTGAAATCTTTGAATTTTTTATTTATATTATTATGATAAATATTTATTAATAATCAATCCAGCTTCTCAGGCACTCCAAACTCTACTCTTTGTCTCCATTAAACATTAAGAAAACCTGAAATTTTGCATTGTGATGATAATTAGAATCAAACTATAACTTTTTAAGGACCTCAAAACCCAAAAAATGATCAAGAAACATGAATTAGCATTGGTTAATGTAAAATCTTAACTAATGTAACTACAAAGTTGATTAATCTTGAAAAAAACAGTATGCCTAGTAACAAAAGAAATTTAAATTAGCAGTGGATTTAGGAAAAAATTAATAGGGATTGCAAGTTTAGTAGAACCCAGTTCTTAAAATGCTTCTCAAGTTGACAACATTTAAGAACATATACAAACTAAATAAAAAAACTGAACAAAAAGATTAAATATAAAAGCTTTCTCCTATTTTAAACCTTTAAAGCAACACAAATTTACACTATCAGCAAAATCTCAACTCTACGTAACTATAAAATTCCAATAACGGTGATAAATCTAGCTGCAGTAACAAGAATTATATTAGGGTTTCAAAGTTTCAATAGCCCAGTTCTAAAAGTGATCCTAAACTTAATAAGATTCAAGAACACGTACAAATTAGACGCTAACGTAATGAAAAAGATTCAAAAATCAAAGCTTAATCTTACTTAAAAGTTAAAACCTCGAAATCAACATCAGTTCGCATTCAATGATTGCTATATCTCAACCGATTGATCTATAAATCTAGATATCAGCGATAAATGCAGTGAGTTCATCAAAAGAAAACCTTGTAATTAGCATCAATCAACTTATTGCAACTTCAAGAATCTTATTAGGGCTTCAAAGTTCAAAACCAAATCAACAAAACTTGAACTTCAAGCTGAACAGCTCAAGTTCAAGAAATTAAGATCAAATCACGATTCGAAACACACAAATCAGGAAACATCAAGTAAAATCTTCAAACCTTTTTGCTTCAAATTACAAGAGCGCTTGCAGATTCATGGACCCAGTTGAGTCAAAGACTCAAAAGGATAAAATGGTCTTTCAAGATTCTCTTCTTCTTTTTCTTTCTCTTTCTCTCTCTTGAATGAATGAATCAGAGATCAAGAAGAAATTGGGTTGAAATGGGAAGTCTTGATAGCATATGTTTGTTTGATGATTATGATAAGTTTGCAGATCCCTTTGGTATTCCAAGTGTGCACACGATTACTATTCTGGATTTCAATTTTCCACCGACAATAAACAATATTTTAATCATTTTTTTTTTACAATGTGTCTTGTTTGACCATTCCATTAACCACAGCCCAATACTATAATCAGTAGTTAAAAATCAAATTACGGACAAAAAGTAAATAATTAAAAAACGACTAAAAACTTTGAAAATACTTTAATAAAAAAAATAAAGTAGTTTATCAACCCAAATTTGATGAGTCCGATATCTGTAATTAAGTCAAGGATACTTCAAGGTTGACGTTTTCTTTTCAAAAACCATTTTTAAAGACTATTGGGGGTTAATGTTATTACATATTAAATATTATTTAAGTTTCAAATTCATATTATTTAGTTAACATGATTTTGAAAGTTTCAATCATTGCAGGTGATGTCGCTCTTATTAGAATAAGGATTGATGTATTTCCGATCTATTAGAGATAATATGAGTGTTGAGTGAATAAATACCTATAATACCTTTTTTGGTTCTTCAATATTTTAATTTATTTTTTAAAATTATTATTATATTTGTTTTATGGTTAGTACCCACCCCAGCCTTATATCATTCTAGACAAACACTTAGTCATACATTTCATCAACCAAACAAACTCATCAGGTTTCTCAACAAATCGTTAAAAACATTAAGTATGGATCACGTTATAACACCCAATTTAAATGTCATCTCAACCATAACATCACCATAATATTAAGGGGAAAATGGTGTTTACCATGTTATGACATGTTAAGAGGCAGATAGATAGATAAAGAAAACGATTTGATTGGTTGATAAAGGCAACAACCAATTAAATTTCTCGTTTCATCTCATCTTCTTCACAATGAGATACGTCATAACACCCATTTAACGAGAAAGAGGGGGGGGGGGGGGGTCACCATGTTACGAGGTGCCACCTCAGTCAAAATTCCACTTATCGTTGCCCCCGTTGTATGCTCTAATGGGTGTGCATGTGTAGAAAACATCTTCATCTTCTTTACCATGTTGTTATATATAGGGTTAAAACAATAAATTTTGTTTTAATTCATAAGATAAGGCTAAAATAACAATGTACTTTCAAAGTACATTGCTATTGTAGCCTTGTTTTCGATCATGGCCTCATTTTCTTATCTTTTTTTTTTTTTGTATTTTCTTTGTTGGCGCATACATGATATTGTAGATTTAGAACTATAAAGGAGATCTCGAGATGTGACTAATAATATTCAGACTCTAACAACTGATTATCAGACCAATTTCTATACATGTTAATGTATAGTCTTCTATTACTAAGGATTCAAATTTATCAAATGTCATTTATACAAGATCATCCTTTTTTTAGAAAATTTGCTTATAATTTTACTTTGGATTAAATTACATTTTTGGCCCTTTGGTATAGTTGCTTCTAAAAGGAATCTTTAGACTAATCAGTTTGGGTTTGATAAAATGTATGACTGAAAGGTCTCTAAGATATTACTGAAAATGTTATAATAGAAAATAGAAAACTATATTCATATTATTTATATTATGTTGCATCTGAAGCATAGTATAGAAAAAAGCATTGGGATATTGTATAAGATTGTTCAGATAGTGAAGTTTTGTAGGTATTCTTTTTGAGCGGCATGGTTATGTGGAAACAAGATAGTGATTTCCACGGGTTATAACCTAGTTAAATTTCAATTTTATGTTATTTAGTAATCTCAAAATTTTTCTTTGTAAAGTTCAATTATTCGGCTTGTAGTTTTGTTTCGATCACATGAAAATGAGAAAAATTAATTTTTTTTTGTTTAACTATTAAATCGAAATAATATGGTGAATTTCTTTGAAATAGGTTTGTCTTTTAGAGAGTGATGAATCTAGAACAGAAACTCACATTGTTTACTATTTAAATTAAACCGATAATATGAAAGAGTAAAACATTTATTATTAGCGGGGTTGGGTCGGAAGTGAACGGCGATGGCGACCATGAAGAGCTAAAGTTTTTTTTTTGTTACTTACGTCTTCGTTCGTGCATAATGGTGAGGGCCGACACTTGAATGATGAATCAATATTCACGATTTTGCTTTTTTCTTTTTATCTAATCTTTAGTGTCATTGAGTTATTTCTTAATAGGTAATATTCCAAATGAACTAAATATTTGTGTTACTAGATATAAAAGATGAGCAAAAAAAGTCTTGTTTTATCTCAATAGTTTTGCCAAAGTGGTTCACTCATAGAATTTAAAGTAACTCATATATATTTTTTATATATTGTTTGTTAGAAAATTTAAGGTAGGTTACATATATTTTTTACATATTGTTTGTTATACAAGAAAAGAACTTAGATGTGTCAAGCGACCCACCTTGGACCTAGAGGTCGCAAAAATTGACACAACACGATATAAACGGGTTTAGGTAAGATATTTCAACCCGTTTAAATAAACGGGTTGACATGACACGACACAAAAATTAAATGGATAAGATTAGGATTGAGAATTTCAACTCAAAAATGACTTGTTTATTTATATGCAAGTTTTTTGAATTATTTAAATAATCTAGAAATATACAAAACCAAAACCATAAGTAAAAGAAAACATTCGAATTGAACTGTTTTGTAATGTTGAAATGACTTAGCTGTCTAGATCAATGCTTCATTTCAGTATGTTCATTTTCTCCCAAACCACCCAGTCTCTTTCACCACTCTTACATCCCCATGAACTTGTCATCCGCCTCCCCAACTCCTCTTTTAATTTTGTCATCTGAACTTGCTATGACTTCATCTATTATGCCGCCAAACTTTTAGTTTTTACTTTCCACCAACTCAACTCATACTCTTTCAACATGCTCAATCTTTTAGTCTCACATGACATGACATATTTCAAGGTACAACCCTAACCCGAAACCCGACACGAAAATAAACGGGTTGACACGACACGACGCGTTAATTAAATGGGTCAGGTTCGGATCAAGCACTTTCAACCCATTCAGTGTTTCGACACGACACAATTATCACATCTATTTGGACCTACATATACTTGCCCCTGCTTTTAGAAAGGCTAAATGCACCGCTTAACAACATAATTCAAATTTATATGTATTTATGCTGATTAAATAAAAAAAAAAGTTGAAATACATTGTTATTATGAGTAAAGTTATTAGACGACAAAATAAATCTTGCTATTTTATGTTTTAACCCTTGTGTAGAAATTTGGAGTTTTAACAGTCAATTAAATGGAAAAATGCATTTCAAATTTTACAATAGTGAATAACAATACAAAGGAAAATAAATTATACTTCTTGAAACTTTTATTGAATAATGAATATATTCTCTTATATTTTTGGTAAGGGAAGTCATTCGTACACAATAACTTTTTGTCATACACAATAATTTGTGCATTAGAGAGTTGTACAGTACAACATTTTAAAGCAACAATTGTTGTGTATGGAGAAAAATTGTTGTGTACAAATCATCTCCCTTTTGGTAATATATGAATATTCTCTAATAAATAAAAGTTTTTTTTTGCCACTTGTCACATTCTCATTCAATTTGTCAAATGTCATTTTGTAGTTATTTTAAATAAAAAAAATTTCACATGTCATGTTATGATTTTTTCTATTTTATTAAATTCCACATAATATTTTAATGTAATAATGATAATCAATGTAGTAGTAAATAGATATCTATTTTACAAACGAACTTACATTTTAATTTCAAAATTTTCAAAATTAAAGCTCATTAGTTTTTTCTTTATAATTATTTGTTTAAATTTACAAGATGAAAAATATTTATATTATAATAATTCATTATTTTTTTCATTTCATTGTAAATTCAAAGTTTTTAAATATTTTAACATTTATATATAATTTAATTTTAAATTAACTCATATAATATCTAAATCTCACAACTAGTTTTTTAATATATCAAAGGGCTTTTGACTTACGGTAAGAAGTGATTTTTTTAATTAAAAGATCATAGATTAAGTCTCGTTGACATGAATGGTACTAATTTAGAAGTGTAGTTTTATTTAAAAAATATATATTTGAATCTTTTAACATTAACCATCAAATCTAAATTGAATATAGAAGTATAGAACTTGAGTGGTAGGTAAATCGGAAAGAAATATGACATAGAGGGCGGACAATAGTCCACGGCCCAATATTTCAAGAGGCCCAATAGAAAAAATTGGTAAATTGCAAAAATGCTCCTTAGTTTGATTTTTGTTAATGTGGAACATACAAAATTGGGTGTTTTTTTTTTTTTTTTTTTTTTTTTTAAGTTTGGCTGTGGATTTGGTTTCTAATTTGAATATCGTTGGTTTTGTTTCGTTAAGTCATGCTTGAGTTAGGGGAAGGGTGGGAGTGACGCTCCATAGGTACCCCAAAGGTGGGTGAGCGACCAACGATGTCGAGGCTTTTATAACCAATGGCAAGCCAAGTCAAGGCCATCGGCCAAGCTCACCGGTGATATCCAAGTCGCGATTTGCATTTTCTCAGTGAAAGCAGATCGCGATCAGCCACTCTTCGACGAGATCCTTGCAACCGATCCATTTTAACTGATGAAAAACCTGATCACAACCAAAAGTGTCCCACGTCGTGCTTGTTCCAAAGAAAAAGTCATGCTTGAGTTATTGTTTTACCTTTTATTTAATATTTTGGGTTTATTTTTTTTTTTTTAAAGTGAATGTGATGTTGACCTTATAGAACTGGAACCTACCTCCCTCTCCTCCTTATTGCTTTCCTCGGCCAATCTATCCCCTCCCTCATTTTCACATTTTCATACCACTTCACAATTAACGATTCATCTCTCAAATCCCAATTACAACCTTGAAACAAACAATGAAACCATCTCAAAGTATAAAAAAATGAACGGAGGCTTCACAACACCTAAATTATATCTTATACTAATTTACAAATTGCAATGTTTGTGGATGTTTCTACCGACGGTTACACCCACTCTATGTTCAAGTATAATATTTTCCACCTTCTATTTTTTGAAATATATTTTGATTTTGTAAAATTTCATTTTCACTCCTTATTTTTAAAATACTTTGTAAAATGTTATTTTTATCCCTTTTTTTTTTAATATCACTTTAACCAATTTCAATTTTAAACTTTATAAAATATTATTTTCACCCTTTCATTTTGTAATATTTTATGTTTATTCCCGCAGTATA